ATAATATAGTATAATATAGTTATAATAATAACTCATTTTCACCTCCGTTGGAAGAATCATTTAAAGCATCTGTTCTATTTGTTATTTTCTTTTGAGCATATGTTTCTTTCTTTTCTTTGATTACCTAAACGTTTAAATATATTTTGTTATAGATTACTTAAATTATCAGGAATATTACGTTTTGAGAATAATACCTTATAAAAAACTTACCTGATCTGGCAATGAGTGTAAATGTTTGTAAACATTTTGCAAGCCTATGCATTTTCGATAAATTCTGAATATGATATCTGGATAAAGCCATGGTTTATATATTCTCATAACATTCAATTCTGAAACTCTAAAAAAAAAAAATTTAAAATATCTGGATATCCTTGATATGATATATTAATGACTTATTCTTACATTTTCATGGAGTGGACGAATTCGGTCCCAATATTTAACTGTGTATTGAGATTGTAACCCATCATAGTTTCTACATACATATAATATGTACAATATAAATAATTAATAAATTATTAATAAATATAAATAATGTCCTGTATTCGGGAATGTCCCATTTTAGATATTTATAAATTACTGTTTTTTTCGGCATAGAATACTGAATTCAAAAATAACGATAAAACAAGGCGAAATAAGGAGATAACTCTTGGACATAGAATAATCTCGCAATACTCTCCTACACTACACTTTCTTGCAACTCTCTAATTAGCTCTTAGTTTTAAAACACGTATGCATGCTCGACAGTTGTCAACTTCTCTGTTTTTAAACACTGAATACACTATTGACGGTTTGTGAACTCAGACTTAATATATGTCATAAATTATCAACGATTATAAAAAAATGTTCCGTATCAGTACAACGAATCCTGTACCTATTTCACTTTTTTTCAAGCCAACAATATTTTTATATTTATCATAAGTGTCGGGCTCATCGGTATCTGAAGACTGACCACCAACCAGGTATATGGTTTTTTATTCCTCAAACAAGGAGAAATGTATATCTACCCAAAATAACTATATCCTTGTTTAAATAACACATCATCTATTTATTTTTTATTTTTTGTAGATATGGGCTATTACTATAGATATTATTCTAGATGGTCGAGTTTTCAAATCAATGATGCCTAGTGGCCATATGCAAGTAGGACAATATTAACAAATTTTTCTTATTGATATAATTTATGATGGTAAAGTAACCCATATTAATTATAAAACAATCTCCAATTTTTTTCACTATAATTATGAGAAATTACCTAATTTAATAGAAATTATTAAAATATAACATGCTATAATGTTTTACACAAAGATGTCTTTTGCTCTTCTGAACAATTTGGATATTGAAGATTATAGCTTATATATATTGTGTACCAAATCGGTTTGTACTACGTTCGTTGCTACTACGTAACGTTTTTGAATTCGCACTTAAGGGAAAGAACAAAGAAAAATAGATGGTTTTAGAAAGAAATTATTATTAATATCACATTGAAAATTTTAGTAAAAAAGAATATTTAATAATTTGAGAGTCGCGGATTGCAGTATCTTAGTCTGCTCCTTAGGTTGATTATTGTATGACTGAAATTATGTATCAAGCATGTCATACAATAATAGAATGCTGCTTAAAAATAAATATTAATGCTGAGTTTTACATACTATATTTCCATTAAATTACTTGAGTCATGGGCACATTACACCCTTTTTCCCTCTATCTTTCTGCGCTGCACTACGTCTCATACGATTAATAACAGCCAATAGGATCTAGCTAGTATTCAGTAATAATTTTATTGAAAATATAGATAAGTATGATCGGAAGCGTTTGTTGATCACTTTTCACTTGAATTGATAACATCAGTTTGTAAATATTGCCCTAACTGTATATTTCAACCGACTTCATATTTCAGTGTTTAATAATATGTGGAGTCGGTTACCTAGTATATTATAAATATCTATGGTTATTACTAAAGTTTTGAAATTGTTTCATTTGCATATTCTTTAATAATGACTGTGAAATAATCTCATTAAGATATAAATTGTTTTTTAACATAAAGCACTGAAATATGAAAAATTGAGTTACATATTTTGTCGTTTTACATTTTGTATTTATTACTTTTAAGTTTACTATTTTATTTGGCAAAGTGTCTTAAGCATAGTACCTAAATAAGTTTATTGTAATTTATATTATTGTATTATTTCAAAATGACTAATAGAGTTGGATTATGAGTACAATTTTTATCTAAAAGTGCCAAAAAAATTGTTTTTGAGTTATTCAACTTTTTTGTTTTAATAAAAAATTATTAAGATTTCAAACTAGTCTTGTGACAATTACTATTCGTGTAACATAGTGTTTTATTCTGGTTAGGTACCACATATTTTTTCTGAAAAAATTGTTATGGCTTTAATACACTGTTTTACATAAAAGAAATTTATTAAAATGAATAACAGTGAAAAAATCGAACTTATTTTAATTTTTGGCGAATGTAATCGTAGTTCTCGACAAGCAACTCGAGTGTACGCAGATCGGTATCCAGATAGGTTTCATCCACATCATATTTATGTCCATAGACTTTTACGCGGATTAAATGAAAGCGGTCAATTTCCTAGTAATCAAAATAGACAACGGCAGCCTAAACTAAATAATTTTTATAAAGACACTGAATTGCAGGTAATGGCCTACATACGTGCTTATCCACGTTCATCAATAAGACATGTATCTCGACAAATTGGAATATCAGGTGGTACAGTACATACAATTTTGAAAAAAATAACTAAATTCATCCGTATAAACCTGTGATTATCCAACATTTACGAATCAAATATTATGAACGTAGATTACAATTTTTGTCATGGTTTAACGTTAAATTCAAAATCGACAATTTATTTTATAATAGTATTTTGTGGACTGATAAATCTAAATTCACAAACAATGGTATAATGAACAAACAAACCATGGATTTTGGGACGATACAAATTCACACTGGTCCCGAGAAACTAACTTTCAGACAGTTTGGGGTATAAATGTGTTGTGTGAATTAATTGGTGGAGTATTTGTAGGTCCTTATACCTTATATCCTTATATCCTTATTGTTTACGACGGAACACTTACAGGTAAAAGATATCTAGATTTTCTTGTTAATCAATTACCATAACTATTAGAAAATGTTCTATTAGCCACGCGAAAAAGTATGTATTTTCAACAAGACGATTCACCAGCACACAACGTCATTATTGTTAA